ACAGGAGTTTGATGGTACAGAGCGGACTGTACCTGGGGAAGGTCAGTGACCACTTAAGGTGGCATCATCCTGGCAGATCTGATGCATCTAGTTGTCTGATTAGATCTTTACAGACCTAGTATGTCAGCACATGCAGAGCACAACGGTCTTAGAGGAAACTCAACATTAACCAAGCTCACAGTAACTGATAGTTGTTAAAAATGTTAGTACTTTAATTTACAATGAGAAATGTAACTATCAATCATTCTCTCCCTTTAGGCAAATCTTCTGGGGAAGTCCATTTATGATCAGCCGGTTACTTGGTGAGCGTGGATTCTGAGCAAGGGAAGCAAGTTGCCTCATGCATCCATCTCCCTATGGGGACTCACCTGCTGATTTTCATGTTTGTGGACCAGGGTACGCTCTTCCCCCGGATGATTGTAGAGATTCTCTGCCAGTAGTTGCCTCTCCAATCAGCTTCTGATGGGCACATCCAGTAAATCTGTCAGTACCTTCAGCCTTTGTCTCAGTTGAACCTGCCTGGGTTCCATCTGCCGGTGTACGATTGCTTACTTCTGCTCTGATCCATTTCTTATTGTTTGATAGTCAAAGGATTATCTTATTTCCTTTCTTGGGGGAGACACCTCAATGTTGCTCCCATCTCCTGCCTACACGTAGAATAAACCCACTGACAGATTATGTTTTGTTACATATATGTGGAAGTCACCATCTATAGCCCTGCTCCTTAAATATAACCTATATTCCTTGAACATTGGTTTTCTAGAAAAATTTGAGGAAACAGTTCAGAAATTTAGAAGATTACATTTCAAATAAGTAAATGTTATGGAACAGAAAAATTCACATGAACTTTTAAAACAGGAGACTTCAAAGAATTGTCGAGCATGTCGCAGCCCTGTGGGGCTCTACCCAACACTTCAGTAGTAGGGGGGCATCTCCTCTGCTCTGGAGGTAAAGGTCCTTGGAGAGAAAACTTTGGCAAGCCTTAGCTTAATGAAAAACCGATCTGGTACCTGGCCAATATTTCTATTATGTAAATGTGATGGTTTATAATGATCCTCTTTGTATAAAAGAAGCAAATATTTTATGTCCTTTGCAAACCTGGAAAATATATTTGTACCTGAGGTACAGGTTAGAGGTGCTAGTAATTCTTTGAAGATTCCTACAACGGTTTCTTTTCCAAAATGCTTTCTTGGCTCTTAAAACTTTGAGTTTTCTTAAAACTCTAACTTTCACATCAGGGGTTTACAGTGTTTTCGTGTGTACTTTTTTTAATGTATAAATATTTTGTTTAAATCCTCTCCTGATCAGTGTCTCCTGCTTGAGAAAATAAACAGTGACCGACAGCTACTATGCATTCACTAATGTTTTTAAATAAATGTGCATACTACTCACCATGGCATCAGCACACATCTGAAACATACAGTTGTACAGTTATGTGCAAGACTTAGTCTGAGCCATTCGTTGCTCGCTACGGATCTGCAGACAACCTGTGTCTTTGGAAGGCCCCCAAGGATCCATGGTCTTTTCCTCGGAGGTGAGCTGACAGGGGGCGCACAGCAGGTCTCCTCCAACTTCTAGGCTCTTGTGCTTATTAGCACGGGGCTAGCTTCAATTGGGCCATCGATGTTTGAACAAACTAATTCGGTATTAATGTGTTTTCTCTTTAGCCATCAATCTATAACATTGAGAAATGATATTGAAACTAATCTGTCTGTGCTGAATCATGTGGTCAGCAACATCTGGGTTCCTGTTGTGTGCAGAGTACTGCACTGGATATAATAAAGGTATTAAAAATTACAAAACCCTCGTCTCTGTTCTCAAAATGTTTGAGTGACAAAATGATGTGTGAAAAGTGTTCTATAATATGGCAGGTTTCTTCATTTTATGAAATGAGTGCACAATGATGTTGGGGTGTGGGTTCAGAGAATGGTTTAGTTTGGTCAATGATGAAAATGACACCATTTCTAGTAATTCTTGATTTTTTTTTTGTTTGTTTTGTTAATATCCATGACTGGTAAAACCATCTAGCTTTCAAATTTGATTCTAAAGTATAGTCTCCACATCCTCACCAACACTTGTTATTTTTCCTTTTTGATAATAGTCAATCTGATAGGTATGAAGTGATATTGTGGTTTCAGTTTGCATTTCCCTGATGATGGATGAGGCTAAGCATCTTTTCATGTGCCTGTTGGCCATCTGTCTGTCTTCTTTGGAAAAATACCTACTCAAGTCCTCCGCCCATTTTTTTAAAATCAGGTTGGTTGTTCTCTTGATACTAAGTTATGTGAGTTCGTTATATATTTTGGATATTAACCCCTTATCATGTGTATGATTTGCAAATATTGGCTCCCACTCAGGAGGTTGCCTTTTAGTTTTGTTGATGGGTTTCCTTTGCTGTGCAAAACTTTTTAGTTTGATATGATCCCACTTGTTATTTTAGTTTTTATTGCCCTTGCCTGAGGAAACTGGTCCAAAAACATATTTTAAGACCATTGCCTAGGGTTTCTTCTAGAAGGTTATGGTTTTAGGTCTTATATTTAAGTC